GTCTAGAGTCCTATGAACGCAGTTGATGACTACATGTTCATAGTGAGAGAGAGCAGTGAATATGCAAATATAACGCCATGGGTTTGGTATTTAACCTCCGTGACAAATACATAAATACATATTATACCAATTATTTACATGTCTTAGTTCTTTTCTACCACCTTAAAGACATACACAACGTACCTTACCTACTGATGATTTTTCAAGATATTCTAAATTGAAACTTATAATACCATTACATGTTCTTAGACAAAAAGTCAGCATGCATTACCAGGGGTTTTAAAAAGATATCAAATTTTAATTTTTTTGCATAAATCAACGAAAAATGTACCAAAATTACAAAACATAAATTCCAGGTTTTTTCATGAAAAATTGTTGTAGAAGAGATGTACAAATTCATATATAGACTTTAAAAATATTGCACACATGTCCTTCGTTTAGTGGAACTCTTCGACTCCAGGGAAGAACCCAATACAGTTCAAACTACGTTGCGTATGACCTTTACTCAACCTTTAAATACAGATTTTAAGAAATCCTCTCTACAATTCATTTCATAATTATAGCTAACTATGATGTCACATTGTTTATGGAAGTATAATATCTGGTTGTAAAATCTGATTGCAGCCTTAACATACCAGCGTTATTTCTGTGATACGTCTTACCATATCAATATATTAGAAACCCGGTGCCACGAGTTATGATTTTTTGTTGAAAAAGGATTAGAGATAATGAACAGTATTAAATCTCAATGTCCATAAAACAATACAAAATAGGAGCAAAGCAAACACGGACCTACGAAGCTTCAGATGTGGGATCAGGTGCCATGAAGGAGTGAGCATCCCCAGCTTATTTTTTCACTGCCGACGTGTGCTGTTTAACACGATCGGAAAATAACGGGAAAATCCGTCGTCAGTTCAGTGTTTAAATAATGGACTCACATATTAGTATGAAAAACGTCAGACAGAATTTGACTCACTGATAAATTGAAATCGCTGACTACGTCATTGTATCGACAATAGAACTTTCGAAATGATGACTTTACACAAGACTGGTGATATTCTTGTTTCATTAATCCACTTGTCTTCTACCTCGTTTTAGAAATTGTTCAAACGTAGAGCATACTCTTGATTATCGAATCAACTGAGATATATTTGCTCCGTATGTAGGTTATGAATGTGTATTGCTACATAAGTAAGGGGAGTTGATGATAGAAAAGTTAAAGTCATCATGTTTATCTTATAGATTGGTTGTTAGATTACCACTAACGTCTTTTTCAAGTAAAATATTCAAGTATGAAACAGACTATGTGGTATCTTTAATCTCAAGCTCACCAAAATATATCTAATCGACGTAGGAATGGAAATTACGACTGTTAATGGACAACGTGTCGTCAGTATGTATAAATGTCGAGTTGGAGGCCACAGCAAGCTAGTGTATTTTTCTTATCACACATAAGATTTTGTACAGATTCTGCTTCATGTGAATATTAAAATAGGTCTGCTAATAACGAAGCGTAATTGGTACCCATGGGAATTCCAACAGATTGTTGGAATAACTGGTCTGCAAGTTATTCACAAATAATTGTCAAACAGAAACTCAAGCATCTGTTTGATGTCAACTTCAGAGTACTTGTGTCTGCAATCAGAATGTGTTTTAACAAAATATTTGCAAACAGCGTTTGCACATACAACCCCTTAAGTTTTCCGTTATGCAATTTTATTTTTGATATTTTTTTTTGCATACCGTAACTTTTACGCTGACTAATTCTGATAGACGTTTTGCAGATTAATAACATTTACTATATAAATTATTCCTTTCATTGATTTGTCCTATTAGAGAAACACCGACATCTTACGAACGAACGTAACCAAAAACAGGGATCTGTCATTGTAGTCTATTGTATTCACGGTTGCTTTATTAAATTCGTCAATTTTATTGGGATTTCGATATATAAAATCTCCACAAGATACCTCAAAGCCACGTCTTGTGGTAGACGCTACCATCACGTTACAATACATTTCAATTGACATTTAAACGAACAAAGGATTCAAGAAGGGAAATAAAAGGAAAAATTTTAAAAATGTCATTCTGTGGCATGAAATAAAAAATGATAGTAAGTGCGGATCTCGTAGGGGTTGAATAGGGGAGGGGGGGTACTTTACGAAGGGCGGTCGGGACAATAAGGAGTTATGGTCTAAAACTAAATTTCAAGAAATTCTTGTTCAAAATACAATAAAATTAATATGACTTTAATACACAGGTGTTATCGCCATATTATAAATCCAGGGGGATGCCTGTTCGTAATTTGTCGGTTGATTAAGCTTCTTCTTACAAATATGTATCTTTGAAAATCTTCATATAGTTCTCACGGGTGCTAGTGGGCAGGAACCCTCCCCCCCTCCCCCTTTTACATCCCATACCCAAAGCTATTTTTTAATTTCACTGTAAAATCTCAAAGGCTTGTTGAGATATTGCTTGAAACAAAAGTGTAACAGACGGACAGAGTTATAAGACGAACGAAGAGACCGAAATTAGTATCCCAAACTCTCAAGGGGGGGGGGGGGGGGGTCGGCGCAAAAATGGAAGTTTAATGAATTGTGTTTTTGACATACTTGTAATTTAAGAAATATGAGAGCAAATTCCATATTAGCATGTCATTATAGGACCAATGCCCCCTCCCCTAATCCCTGGAATATATATAAATACGGGTCCAAAGATATTTTTTGCTCTCTTTCATTAATAATATTTACAATTTACAACATACAAAATTGATACCTGCAGTTAAAAAGTTGGAGGTGATTTAAGATGGTACGGGCATGTTTTTTTTTAAAAAAAAAGCGTAAGTTTAAGACAAAGAAAAGAACACTTTATAAAGCGCACTACCTATTTACTTAATTGCACAGATTTTATTTTTCAAGCTGTAAAACGTAACCTTTCCCCATATGAACAAGGCGCACACTACGAGTAGTTTGTATACGTTTAATCACTGACGCATGACAAACGTGTTTCCTAATCCGTCTAAAGTATTATGGTGTATTTTCTCCTATTTGTTCGCTTCTTTAAAACATTGTAGTGATTACAAAAAATTCAACATAAGCAATTTTCAAATACAAAGTGGTTAAAACGCTTTCCGTTCTATTTAAAACATATACTTATTTCTTCCGATTTTCAACTTTACATGGGTACAATCACTGGTCCCGAGAAAACTATCGAGATACGGGAAGTTAGGGAGAGTCACGTTCGTTCGACAAGATGTCAACGTCTTCTTTTCCATATCTGGCCCATCGTCTGGCGTAATTTTCAATTAATCCAGGTTGATTAAAATACAGTATGATGTGCTCTCAAAAAGAAGAATATTGCATAAAAAATCTATAAAAAGTGTCGTTTAAGGAACAACAGGACTATTTGTAGACAAGTTGTCAACTCATATTGCGGATGGTGTATATTTGTTCTAATTGTTTCCATCAGCTAAGATATGTTTACGGTTAGAAATCAAAGTTTCATACAATAATATTTTTAACTATCACAGAGGCGAGGTGTATGCAATTTGTTAAGTTGACACTAAACCTTTATGTATCTCTATATTTTTTTTAAAGTTTCTTGAATATTTAAAAATTTCTTCAACTTTTTTTAATGACTTTCAAATGTGATCAATATTGATAAAAGATAAAAAAAAACATTCCTTAAGATGAATTTTAAAAGTATTTATAATATTGTTACTTTTTAAATTAAAAAAACACACAAGAATCTGAGTACCGTTGCCACATAATTAAAACAAGAAAAATTAATTTACACAGAAAAAGAAAATTGAAATAGGACATCGTCAGGAAAGTAAAGTCTGAAGTCTGCATGGAAAGTATCCGAACAAATACTTTCGTCGTTTTGATACCTTGCTGAGTCCTTTTAGTCCACTATCTGCGAACCTGAGGGGACTATAGATTTCATCCGAGTCCATCCGTCCAGCTTTCCCTATGTTTGAACGTCAGTCTCTCTCCACCTGCTTTTCTAACATTTTTTTTAAACGCTTGCAGATATTTACCTGATTTTTAATATATACGTTTATCGTGGTGAGTTACAGATAGAGCTAGAATTTCGTTCCACTACATTGGTTTTTGATAGAATTATAGCATTTTTAATTTTTCAAAATCGGGATAACGATCTGGTGTGTTATACACTAAATTTAAGTTCCAAACGAGGTAATATCCTAAAGAGAAAAGGGGAACCCGGTAGAGGAAATGTGTTGCTTATGCTATAATCAGAATGCTTGTATCTTCAAACACGTTATATTTTAACTTGTTAATAACCTCTCGGACTTCGTTTGAGCATGTCTACACAAAATACTAAGTACAATGTCCGGTTTTATAAAATTAAAACCAAACACTGAAAATTCAGAAAAATAATGTAACTCGTTTATAAGGAAGATAAAAAAAAAATGTTTGTGGTATTGATCATTGAATCAAATGTGTTGTAATCTTGACATTAACGTCTTCATCTCAATATTAAATGATTTTTTATTACTGCAATCAACATTCCTTTGTTTCCTTTAAAAATATAAAGCATTTTTTTCTTTGTTTAAAATAACTATATTGAAAATATAACAATAATTATTTATTTTCAGTTTTGATATAGAAAGGAAATCCAAATGACAGTATAAAAACAAGAAGCTAACATGTGGAAACGATGAAAAAAGGTTTATCAACGTTTTCTACCTTTATCTACTTGTCGCGATGTGCAAATGATCATTTTTTTTCTTTTGCAATATTGGAATAATAAACTGTAATCATTTTTTGTACAACGAATTTGTAGAATCAGCGACAATATTTATTTTATGGATGGTAGGAAACGTGCTGCTTCAAAATGTAAGTACAGCAAATATTAAAAGAAAAGGTAACAAGGAAAATTCTGCTTTCAGATAACCTGACATTAACCTTTAATTTGAAAGAGATTTGTAAATTTAATGGGTAATGTTCTTTCTTTATTTTTCTCACTGATCACAACGAATGTTAAATGTTCAGGTGACAGGAAACGGAGATTCTTTGCAATGTAGGAAGTCTCTCGATACACTCGAGAATGTGCCAAATTGTCCAAAAGACAAGGAAGGATGGAATGAAAGAGCAAAACAAAAGAATTGTGAAGCTCTTTCCCATAATTGCAGCGAGTTAAAATATCACTGCGTATTAAATGAACACGGGAATGGAACTGTTGAAGTATGTGCACCACCAAGATTTTTACAAGGTCAGTTTGTCTTAGTTTAACCACTTCTGTGCCACAGGGCCGATTTTGGGCCGATCACACAGTTGCGTAGAGTGCCACGGGGCCGATTTTGGGCCGATTTTATTGAAATGAATTGTAACTCTGTATTTCTTTTACTTCTATTCAACGTAAATGATTATTAGACTTTTAAATATTTTTATTGCATAAAATTAAAGTTTTTATGGCTTATTTGTAGAATATCATGAAAATTTCAGGCAAATATATGGATAAACAAAGTAGTTTTATTCCAGCGATGACGCCATGAATTTTCGAAATAAATGAGTTGTAGCATAAAGTATCGGTATTATTACTATTGAATATGCTCAATGAACACGATTTCATTTCAAGTGTATATTTTCATTTTATTATAAATTCAGTATATTGAGGTAATACTCGTCCATTTAGCAGCAACGGTTAGAATCAACGTCATTTTACGTACATGACGTCATAATAACAAGTACGTGCAAGCCAAACCTTTAGAAAACGTTCCGAGTTTACAGATTACCACTACTCTTGAGGCATTTAGATTGATTGACTGATTGTTTAATTCCGTGATTTAATATTGTCAAGTTTATTTATTTTATTTTGTTGCATATGAACAAATTAAAATTTATTTCCTGTTTCGTTTTGTTTCCCGTGTTCGATGTATTTTTTGTAAATTTCCTAAATGCAGATTTTACATGCTGCTACTCAACTAAAAGCACCTGATAATTAAACATATTGAATAGATATTGAAAATATAACCAAAGCTAATAAATTTAAATGTTTGTTTTTGCATTAATTGTATTCCGAAATTTTAATTTTAATCAAAATTTCTTTTTTATTTGTTCCGTATTGACTTTATTTATTACATACCGGTATAACTTTCAATATTTCATTTTTTTTTAATAAAACATATGAATTCAATGTATTACAGTGAGAGGGGTAATCATGATCAGTTTGATATGACAATTTTTCTTCCAGAATTTTAATGGAAAATAAAGGATGCAATTTTTTTAAATTTCTAATGAGAAAAACACATGTATGGCAAATGAATGTGACAATCGATTTTCGAAAAAAAATTGTGTTATTTTTTTTAATTTATTTTGTTAAAATGCTATTGATCTTTCTATTTTCATTGTGTATGATATATCCTAAATATATTCCTTACACTAGTGTGTAAATTTTAACAGGAGTACAGATTATTTAGATTTTTGCTAGGGAAGTAAAAATTGCACCTCCCTCTGATGATGACTATACAAAATAAAGTTTACGTTAACAAAAAATACAAAATGTTGTCATATATTTTTTTGATTTGTCCCTTTGAATTAATTAATGCTAATCATGCATCAGGTAAATTATATCTTCGGGACTAGGTTAATATAAAACAATTATTGAAAATCTATATCTTAAACTGCAGTAGAAACTTGCCTAAAACGCAAAATGGGGGGAGGGAGAGAGAGAGAAATGAAAAACAAGAAGTAAAAACAATATATTAAAGGTGATTATTTTTGATAATTCTCACTATTGTTTTCGGCTTCAAGAAGAAAGAAAAAACGGCAAGGGGACAGCCGTCTTTCAGTTTAAAAAATTTAAACTAAATACATGTATTATATTATAGCAAATTAATATTTTTTTTAATGGGTAAAACTCGATCCATCCCCACCCCAACCCCCATCCATTAGAGTACGTACGTGCTACGAAATATGCGATTTTTTAAGATATCGACCTTTTCCTTACTTACTCGTGCGAGTTCCATTTACATCATGGTATATGTACATGTATGTAGTTGTACTTTTGAAAACATTATATCTATAGACAAATACAATTTCAGAGAGAGAGAGAGAGAGAGAGAGAGAGAGAGAGAGAGAGAGAGAGAGAGAGGAAAAAAAACACAGTTACTAAAACACTCGATTAATTTTGAAAGGTCTTTGAATACATTATTATTTAAACTTATTGAGTGCCTTTTTTTAGTGATTCTCAAGGTTGGTTTCCTCAGTTAAATTAGTATAGCATAAAGTGATTGAGCATTTTTTTTTATCTGATATTTTTTGGATAGGGTCCCTCCTCCCTGGGGGGGGGGGGGCTACATAATTGCAGCTATAGCTTTATTAAACCACCAACTCTTTTTAATTGTGTTACTATGAATACTTCTAAGAAACAAAATACGAAAAATTGTGGAATTTTGGGAAGTCTTTTTTAAATTTTACTAGGATGAGTTTATGTATGTTTAAAATATTTATTTTAAATCATAATACGATCGGTACATTTAATTAAAATTTTGTTAACGCTCGATATTCGGAAATAGGGTTGAGCCGCAAAGAACCGGGTCTAAATTAAACAATAAAATGCTTTCATTGTTTGTCATTACTGGAATTAACGGAAGCAGCTGTTGCAGAAAAAATACATAACCCGTCTAAGCGGGTTATGTAATTTTTTTTCTGCAATAGCTGCGACCGTTAATTCCAGTAATAACAAACAAAGAAAGACATTTTATTGTTTATATTTATATCTGTTTAAATAATCATTTAAAGTAGGATTAAAAATATTAATTATTGTATTATTGATGCGAACGTCTTTATATACGTTTCATTGATGGAACAGCCACTGATCAAGAAACTTTGTAAAGGCGACATGCCTACTGTAGTTCATGCAGTGATTAACACAATGGGTTTTCTAAACTAATAAAGGAGAAAATATTCAGTGGATGTAAATATAAACTAATACACTGTATATTTTTTCTTTCCTATTAAAAAATCGCAAATGGACTGGTGTAACTGAAAAATATATTAAAAGATAAATGGGCATAAAAATTCTTACCTCAATTCCAAAAAAATTAAAATTTAAAAAAAGTCCTTACTCATCTATCAAGTACTCTCCTGGTTGATACTTGTACGAAGCGTGTTGGACCGAATTATTTGCAAACCAAAATGGCAGTATAAATGGGCTAAATTTTCGATAATTTCAATTTTAGGGTTAGGAGGGCTAACAATTATAAGGAATGTTTTGTTGTGGAAATAGTGCAAGAAGATTTTAGAAAAACACGGTTTGTAATATTTTGAGATGACAGTTTTGAAAACATGGAGAAATTAATCAAACAGCGCACTTTTTTGTGCGCAATAAATATACAGTTTTGTCAATGGATGGCACTGTAGCTCTCCGGTCTGTCAATATATATTTTTTCAGAGAGCTACAGTTCTGCAACTAAATTTATGGTTAATCTATGCTTGAGTAGACCATCCGTCAAAAAATGCAGTTTTAATTTTTGTTTAATCTTGTATAAAAAGAAGCATGGAATCGGATACAAAGCTGACGGTCTACATGCAGGTAACCTAAGATGTTAAGTTTTAAAAACTATTTACGATATATGAGTCGAGTTTTTTTTTTGGGGGGGGGTGTCCCTCATTTTGAAATGTTCCGTTTAAGTTATTAAATATCTATATGTAAATAATAAAAGTAACGAAAAACCAACCTTTGGAAATACAAAGCCCACTTCAAAAGTATGAGGAGAGAGTCGTGTATTTAATAAAAAACTTAACCAAGCCCCCACCCTCTTTTCCCCTCAATTCATAGACATGTTTATACCCGGTACACAAAATATGTTTTTCAACTTTGAGCTGGTTACTTCCGAATCGTATCCTACAAAAAAATCTGAACTCGATTGCCACCGATTTCTAAAAATTGTATACAAGGACAGACTGCTGTTTGAGGCCGGATAGCGCCTTAAATGTTTTAAAAATGAAAAAAAAAATACGCTTTACCATTATTCATTTTTTTTTTCAAGTTATTACGAAAGAACATCTGTCACTGCACACGTAAAATGTAGAATTTGCATCCACTTTTGATACATGTAAATATGTAATTGTTGCATAATGCTTAAATTCTAGCAAAAAGCAATGTACATGTATATTCATTTACGTTTAATATGTACTCTATACAAAATGAAAATAAAGTAACAATACTTATAAGGGTTGAGGTAAATCATTCACAATTTACTTGGGAAAAGAATAGAGGCATACACAAAGTGAGGACTATTCTATTTCCGACTGTCAGTTTTCAAAGTTCGTACATGTCCTAGAAAACAATTATTTTCAAAAAATAGGTAATGAGAAATGTCTTTGACACATTTGATTTTTTTATTTCATGTATTTAATGGCATAAAGGTTTGGCGTGTCAGGAAGACAAAAATATCCTAACAGTATTTGAATTCTCTAAACAACAAGATATAGCAATAAAATACACGCGATTTGTTTTAGGTTTTTAATTTTCTTGATATTAAAAGGTGTTAACCTCCATATTACACGGTCTTCTTATCAGTGTAGAGTTTCAGACTAGCTAATTTATGAGTAAACGAGTTTGTTGGGGTATATTTTTATTATTATTTTTTTTTAATTCATACAGAATGCGTTCAGAGTACTTTTATTTTTAAACAATGTATTTAACTTCCGTACATTGTAAATACATACCAGTATGCAAAATGGAAAGTTTACCAATTCATATTCGGAAATAATTTTGATGGCTTTAATACATCCATTTTCCTTTACCCATACTTCACAGTAAATCAACCAAATTATCAATCAGTGCGTAAATCAATTTAAAAAATAAGGAATGGACCGCGCAGCCGTGTACGTGTTGGAGATGACGTTATCTTCAGAAGACACAATTTTTTTGAAATGTCTCTTTCTTTAAATAATAAAAAAAAACTTTGTCTCAGATCATGCGCTGAAACAGGATCTTCCTCTGTTCAAATTATACATAACGCAGGTGCGATTTACGTCATTGATACAACATAAACCCGCAATTTTTAATAACGTCACGACCATTGTAACGTCATTTACGTGTGACGTTACGTTTTTTGGCAATTCAAAAATTTACGTTGGCAGCGAAAGGGTTAAGATAACGTCAAATCTTAGGTAGAACTTTAAGAAAATTCTTATTCATGATCAATCAGTCATAATCGTTTATATATAACTTACATTACAGTTACTCTATTTAAACATTCATTGATTGAACGCCATTAATCATATATTGTTAAGTAAGTTTATATGAACCAAATATTAATCACTTATTTCCATTTGTAAAGAAACCAAACGTGTCAAATACGGTAATGCAAAAATGGGAACCAAATTCAAATGTTGGAAATTTGTTATATGATACTCAGGTGACATACAAGGTCCATGAACCTCTTGGTGTCAATTTCAAAATCACATAAATGAACTCAATATACATATATTTTAATACAGTTTTTTGTGTGTTTTGCAGCGTATTGTATATTCAATCAATGTGGTATATTTTTTTAATATATAGGCTACTGTCCTTCATTCATCACAAGTACATCTACGTTGTATGACCACTACGGTAAAAAGTGTTCGGATTTTCGCTATAATCCATGTCCAGGACGATACTCTTCAAATGAAACGTACAAATGTAAGTTTTTTCTCCATATATATATAAATACATATGATCTCCAACCTATTATCTATTTATATCATACTAATAAAATTTATCGTATAGTCATGTACATATTAAAATCAATTATTTCTAGCTTAGTTCATTTATAAGAAATGAACAATAAACATCTCGAGACATCGTTTACGCTTTTCTTGACATTTTATCTAATTTTATTGTTTGTCACCCGAAAGGTTACTAATTGGGACCTTATCATAACTTGATTAAAGCCTGTTTACAGGGAAAAAATGTTTAATTTAGGATAGACTCTGATTCTTATCCAAATTTTTCGAGTACAACCTTTTGTTTGGTTCAAAGATTATAAAACAGCGTAAACTGGCCTTAAACAGGTTATACTTGAATAATTTGCCTAATAATTAGAATCATTCCTTATAATTTAAATAAAACATTGGCAAACATTTGTGGGTGCAGAATTTCGTTGATTTCCATTAGTTCTAATTTGCCACCCAATAATACAATTAACAGTAATAACAGAAGAGATTGGAAGCGAGGGGAGTAATAACTGATAGATAGACCTAGTAGCCATGATGTTTGTTTACAACTGATAAGATCGAGTTACTGTTTGAGGTTAAAGGTATATTAATTAACGAGGCCCGATCTAGTTGAACTGCGCATACGTTTTAACGCAGCGTCGACTCAGGCACGTCATAGTACCCTTGACTGCCGTCACAATTGAACACAATAACGTCACGATTAAAATGACGTCAAATTGCGCTAAAATGCTTCGCTGATCTTGCATACCTGGTAGTTCTATAGAATGTACATGTTGAAAGCTGGTATTTCCATAATTTACATGTTTTTTAAAAATACCTTTTAATTAATAAACAACTTTGGATCATGATTTATTATGAGGTATCAATTTCTTGGTACATATGCATTAATTTTACCTTTTTTATTTCAATTTGTGAGTTAAAAAAAACAAACACTACAACCAAATGTAAACGATTTTAGTCTTTCTCCTTGAACGTGTTGAAGTGTTTATACACATGCACCCTTTTTTTTATTGAGGACTTAAATATGCATGGATTAGATTGAGTTAAAATAAATCAGTCTCTGAATCATTTAAATGCAACCCCCGATAAATATTTTTTTCTATATACATGTATTACATGATATTACGTCATTTGTCGCCTTTACCCCTCCCCCTTTTTTCCCACGTATAACGTCGCATGTTAAGAAAAAAATAAAGCATGTAGAGAAAATTATTTCAGAATGTAAGAATTATTTAGTTTTTAGAAACTAATACATTATTGCAGTTGTTTGTTGATGTTATGTTAATCCACGGCGACTTATTTCATATCTAGTCGGATAAAATAAATCCTAATTTTGTGTTTTGATATGTCCCCTTTTCACTGCAATAAAGGCTACCTCCAATTTTCTTTTCATTTTTTATGAGAAGAATGAAAATTGCATGATATATGTGAAAAACAAAACATTTCATCCTGCATTTTTTTTTTATTTTCAATTTCTTTGTTTTTTGGAGAGTTTACTATGTTATTGTGTATAAAAACACGAAAAATGGTCTATATCTTGACAGTGCCCCATTTGACTACAATAAAGGCAAGGTAACAAAATTTCATTCTAATTTTTCTTAGCATAATACATACAAAAATATTTCCAAAAATTAAAATTTTTTATCATTCCGTTTTCGTAATTTTCAACTAGATCGGGCCTCGTTAAATCTGGAATTTTTCATGAATCTCGAGGACTGGAAATGAGAGGATTGCATGGAAACAGATGATTCGACTGGTTGTCAGGGGGTGTATTACCATAGCAAACCAGATTATGCAGAAATATTTCCATTTTCATTGATTTTTCTGTGATAACTCTTTTAAAACGTAGATGTCATGATCATTTTTCTGGCATATTATATTGGGGCGAGCGCAGGTATTCCTCAAAAATACACTTGCAACATTGATCCGCCACTTCAAACAACCTCAAGTGGCGCGAGAAATTTTGATTGTGACGTCGCTTAACGTAACAGATTCCGTCACATACTACTTAGACAGTCAATTGTGTTGAAGAACGAGACTACAGGCCCAAACTCAATACAGTGTCAATTCCCCGGGGCTTCTTTCCCTACGAATAATGAAATATAATAGTTATTCATTTGCTTGTTTTTTAATTCAGCCTAAGCCCCTTTTCGAGAAAGTCTTTCTTTAAAATGATATCCTAAGTTGTTAACTTTCAGTCCAACAGTTGTCTCTCCCTTCCTAAATCGTATCACACCAAAGAGAAGAAAAGTGTCTTCTAAATACCGTACATGTTCTTATCAAATATAAAAAAAAAAACATAATATGTTCGAAAATGATTTTCAATGAGCTCACAAACATTGACACTATCTTGTCGCATTTTTTGTATCCCTAAGGGTCATACATGTATGTTAAACGTCTTTATCTCAGATCTTTAAGTAACGTCATCACCGAAAAGTTACACAGCCAGGTTCAAGGAACTATTTATCATATCTAATAGTTGCCAAAAGATTGGCTAAATCAGGCACAATGTTTTTCAATGTGGCTTAAAATGGTCGATATCAATGCACTTTGAAAATAATTTTTTTTTCAAATTGCGTTAACTTGGTCCCAAATTTAACGCATTTCGAAAAAAATCAAATGCCTACTTTTTCGAAGTGCGTTGTTACAAATGCGAAGCGCATATGTTCTTAGAAAGATAAAGCAAAGTATTTTTTTAAAATTAAGTTTGGTTATTTGTTTTTAAAAGAAAAGTTTATGTTTGAATAATAAGAGCACTATTACAGACCAAGAATGCTACCAGTTTGCAGAAAAGCAACATTTTACTACAGCAAGTGTCAATACAAAGGGAACAACTACAAAACATGTAACAGAGGAGCGGAAAGAAAGGTACTCAATTTTAAATAAATATGGGTTTATAATAGGTAAACAAGTATGAAAAAAAATTGCTTAATTAAGGCAAGGACAAATGATACCTTATCAGCTGACCTGAACCGAAGGCTCATGTAAGATTCCCTGATCAAAATTTGTCCGTCGTCTGTCGTTGTCGCTGTCGTCGTTGTAAACTTTTCACATTTTCATCTTCTTCTCAAGAACCCCTGGGCCAATTTTAACCAAACTTACCTCAAAGTATCCTTGGGTGAAGGAGATTTAAGATTAAAGTTCGTTCAAATGAAGGGTAAAGCCCTTTTGCACTAAAAATTATTGGCATCTTTCAAAAACATTTTTCTCAAGAACCATTGGGCCAGAAAAGATGAAACTCATGTGGAAGCATCCTCGGTTAGTGTAGATTCAAATTTGTTGACATCATGACCCACGGGTATAGGGCTACAATAGCTGATAAAAGTTTTACATAGGAATACATATGAAAAATCATTTTAAAATCATATTGTCAAGATCAGGAAAGCTATGGCATGTGATATTAATATGGAAACATCCTCAGTTAAGAGTTAAATTTAGTGTGTTCATGTCATGACCCTGGAGGTAAGGTGTGGCCATAATGGGCAATCAAATCTTTACATAAAAATATGTAGGAAAAATCTTTTAAACACTTCTTCTCATGTATGGCAAAACTAAACATGTATGTTTTATTGATATAGTGAAATGCTCAAGAAAAAAAATTCAAATCCCTTCTCCCCTAGCAAGTAAACTTTTCAATACTGAGCTGATTTGTGATTTTTAACTAGCCCATGTGCTCAGGTGAGCGGTGTGGCCCATGAGCCTCTTGTTTCACAAACATCTTACTTAAATATGAACAGATATGCAAATAAATATAATAGTCAATCAAATGTTGTTTCCTTAAAAATATTTGAGGGTTGATCCAAAAGTTCGTTGAATTTCCTTCTAAAATTGATCATGATTTGATGAAAGCAAACACAATGCATATTTTGATATAGAGTCATAATGCAACATTATTTGACGTTTTCACCACATTCCCATTACCAATAAGGTCACACGAGCTTTCTGAAAATGGATAGTTGTGAAACCAGGGAGATACTTCGACGTAACGTCAAGTTAGATATGTTACCTCACGTTATAGAAGCATTTCATCCTATTGTCCGATTTAAATAAGAAATTATACATACTTTTGCCCTTTTCTACATTTCTTTTCTCAAGAAAAGCCACTTCTTTGAGGTATCCTTTTTGCACCAATTTATCTTCATTTTTTACTCATGTTTGAAAAATACTCCCCCATTTTTCCATATCTTTCAATTTAAATAGCAATTTCAAGAAGAGTACGTCAGCCGACAATAGCACTTTTAATTTGTCTATAGGGGGAACAAGCACTTAAAACAGAGCCTACAAAGGGAGACACACCTTTAATGAACGTCCAATGAAGTTCTCTTTTTCTTAAATTCCTTACGCCATTAGAAAACCAGTAACTGGATGCACTATCCACAGCCTATGTCATTTATATACGCGTTTAAAATTTTGGTATTTTCACAAAACTTATGACTTGACCGAAATATGTCGTTGTCTAGCATTTTAATGATGAACAATAAATCATCGATTCTCACGCAAAGGTTTATAAAAGATCAAGCAATCGTACATTACATCATTTTCGTTTTATATACCGTAGCCCGCGTGGCGCAGTGGTTAGAGCGTCTGCTCTAGAGTCGCGAAGTAAGGAGTCAATCCTTAGGACGCGGGTTCGAATCCCACTGCGGGACGTGGAGACTGGTCCTTCGGATGAGACCGTATAAACCGAGGCCCCGTGTCGCAGTAGGTGCTGGCACGATAAAGATCCCTCACTGCTCAAAGGCCCCGAGTGCCGAGCATAGGACAAAATTTGTAGCCCTCCACCGGCAAGTGGTGTCGTCTCCATATAAGTGAAAAATTCTCGAGAGGGACGTTAAACAATATACAATCAATCAATCAATCGTTTTATATACCACATAGAGCGATTTTATCTCCATTTCACGTATTAAAAATTGAATGATAATAAACGCGTTAATGTTTCCACCGCATTTCCAAACAACTGTTTCTATGACAACAGCGACAAATTTACCATCATAACTTTTTAAAATGTTTTTATTGAAAATATTCAACGTGCCTTTATTCTCATATGTAATTTTCAACCAATTTCAATATGAATAAATAAACTATGAAGAAATTCCACGAACTTTTGGATTAACCCTCGTATATACGAGGGTTGTCCCATAAAATCGTGGACAAAGCGTTTTTCTCAAAAAGTAATGGGCGCACTAAGCTGAAATTTTCAGTAAATGTTTATTCATCATATTTAAGTGAATCATAGTGTTTTTGATTATATATATTTAAAAATAAAGATTTTATTCTGCTTGAATGTGCACAAGGTACGGTCCTACGGCGCACGGTAAAAATAGCAAGGTTATATTAGAGAAGACATAAGAATTAATTCGTAATAAAAGTTTTCAATACATAAGATTAGGATGAAAATTATCCTAATTCCATTCCTTAATCAATTCTGTCGTCTTTTTAAAAATTTCAAGGCATTTGGTTAATTTTTGGCAGTTTCCCGAGCATTTGAAATGGGAAAGTAATAAACACAATGCTCGAAAAATGGCGACTTTTTATGACGTTACGGCGCACCGGAGAGCAGTTCAGATAGATTAGGATGTTGTAATGACGCCTTAAGAGACTTTAAATGAATACAGAAGAAAGAAAATATGAAAAATATCACCAGATCTTTAGTATATAAATGAAATGAAAGTTTTCTTAGTGAAGTCTTCGTGGTCGAGTCCCCAGATAGTACAAAACATATGGACAGACTGTCATTTGTAATAGCAAAGGACGCTGTCACTGTCGACCGTCGATGTGAGATTCTCTTTTAGTTGAATGATGGTGAGAATACTGTCTGTAACTTGCTAATAAATATTCAGAAGATCGCATGAGTGTGCCACATTGGTTTCTTAACTGGTTATAGATACTCACATATGTAAATCAATTAAATTTCTAAATTTAAGTGGGGCTTATCCAACTTTAAGTTTAGCAAAGATGAAACGTGACGCTGTTTTAGACACTTTGACGTTATCATCCGTGCGCCGTTGGGCGATACAGTACATAACATAAAATATCACAATTTGTTTACCTATGCATATATCTATTTGAAATTTGCTATGTATATTCATAATTTATCTACTAAAAAGTGGTGAAAATTTCAGAACGCAGTGATGATTATTTTTCAAACTAGACAACTTGTCCATGATTTTACGGGACAACCCTCGTATATCAACGATTGCAAAAAAAAAAATTGTCATTTAATTTATTCCCGTATAAAAAACATAAAACAAGAATTTTATTATTAAAATAACCGCTATGTTTGATGTTTCTTTCAGTTCAAAAGAAGCCTTAACCATAATTGGAGTAATTATTGGGATTTTCGTGATAATTGGAGTAATTCTATGTGTCTGGAAAAAAAAATTGCGTAAGTGTTTAGTCTTGCATATGTATATATACATTAAATTAGTAATTTTTTTAAACCGGCTACCACTTGTTCCAATACATTTGGCCGGATTAGACAGAATCCGGAGTGCAGGAAAAATAAAGGAAAATAAATGCTTGTAACAGTTATTTAATTTTTTCAATTACAAATTAAAATGATTAAATCATTCGATTTTTTGGAGCCTACAATTTTATTCAGAGTATTTGTAGAAGACTTACTGCCATTTTTAAAAATTCGTTCGAAATGTTCGATAGCTAAACATCAAGGTGAAGCTTATACGGATCAAAATCTTGAGAAGTTCAGATATACAAAGCGAGGATTATGCAAGTTAAAAACACGCTAAACATGAAGATAAAAATATTTACAATTTTATTATTTTTTGTTTACATTTAATTTTTTTTACAAAATTTATAATGAAGCCATTTCAAAATTAAACTTTAAGTTTTGATCCCGATTTATATTTGATTTGTCAATCGTGTACTTTTACATTCATTAATGTTAAATTTTGTTATATGGAATTTAAAGCAAGTAAACGTGTACATATCAAATCAATGAATTGTGAATAAACTTTGCTCTTTTTTTCCTTTTATTTTGAGTTCGAAGATGTCAAAGAATCCCACAAGGAGGTAGATACATTTTTAGTAAAGGTCAATTATTTAAAAAAGACTTTCAAATTGTATTCAGCTATTTAAAAGTACATGTATTTCTTTTTTGCCATTTATTCATTTTGATATACTATTGTTATCCATATTATTGGCTCAGCTAATGACTATATATGACCTAGCTAATGCGTCTAGCTTTGCTTTTATAGGTATAGAGGCAATGACGTTATTATCTGTTACGACCAAGACAAAATCCCCGTACGAATAATAATGAAATTCATGAAGTACATGTAATTTCAAAGAGAGAAGAAATTCAAATGTGTGGGCTGGGTTATTTCTTCAGACCCCTCCTGGCGTATGCAATCACCCTCTTGTCTCTTTTTTAGTAGCGAACAGTTTTAAGTTATTGTGTGCGGAGATTAAATTGTTCCTCAAAATCTGAAAATGCTAGGAAGGAAAGGAGAGATCCATTTCTCTTTCAAGGCCTAGATTTTTATCTGTATGCATGGTTTATTCGCAGGTGAGGAGAGGGACTTAATATTACATGCGGTCCACCCCGAGGCATTGACGGCCGTGCAGACCGTGAAAAACGCTTATGCTTATAGTATACACAAACAGTATAAACAGGCAGTCCACGAGTTTTACTTGTACAGCTTGTTGTCCTACTGTTCATCATTAAATTAGCAGATCTCGACATCGTAAATAAAAAATATCAAATACTAACAATAAATGATAATTGAAAAATTCCATAATTTCAGACTTTTATCTAACATCAAATAAACAGAAATCTCACCGGTCGACTTTTGAAAAAAAAAACAACAAACAACTTTGATATATTATGAACATAACCTACTTATTCAGCCAATCAAATGCTTCCATTTCTCGCGAAGATTCGATTCTTCATGGTGAAGAATTCTTCTATTTCTGAAATATTTAGCGGTGTCTGATTGGTTCACTTGACAGTGAGATGGTGTGTCTTCATCGGTCTTTGTTCAGCACACAAAGAGAAACTATTCAAAACCAACGTGCTGTTTACAATAATATTTAAACTTTCTATGCATTGCTACACTTTATGTCACTGTTATATTCTTTTGTCGCCTTTCTGAATATTATTTTTTTTTCACATTTCGGTACATACAGAAAATACAACCATCGTCATATATATATTAGGGCGCTCTCATCTTTACGCAAACATTTTTCAAAAATATAGATATTACGATTCTTGTTACAAGGATATTCATTAGTTCAGTAGCTTTAATATGTTCACCGAACCATTTCCTTAGTAAATCACGTAGCATCGTTTTTGAAAGGGGCGGCAGCCAGAAGATTTTTTTTACTTACTTGAAAAAAAGGTGACAAACAAAAAAAAGGGGACATATCCCAAACTCGATTGTCTTATTTCGGGGGGGGGGGGGGGGGAGACTTTCAATGAACATTTTCGATAGGAAAAGTTATGTCTGGAAAAAAAGTGGGGGAAGGGGCAGGCGTGCCTGATTCAAGCTATTCCATATAATCTCGTGTTGACCTTAATGGGATGAAGTCCATTCTGAAACCGTGTGTGTTCGATATTGATTGCGTGCTCGATATGTACAACGAGCGGTCAAGTTGAGCTTTATATATGACACAGCCATGGGAGGAGTTTATTTTTAATCCATTCATTTGATTGGCTGAGGTTCTGTTCTAAGTCAGTAAAAACATATGAAGAGAAATCTTCGTCACGAATTCATGACGAAGATTTCTCTTCATATGATCTTACTATTACTTACATGTACCTTACATTGTACGTGACAGCAACAATGACTTAAAATTCGTTGTAAAATAGAATAATGAAATACGGGTATAAATAAAAAAAATACTCATCCTTTTTTGTCCCTTTCAAAATCTTTAAAAATCAATTAATAAATATCGTTAATATGGTATCAATGAGATCTTCGATACTATTGTTTAATGACTGTTTTGATGGTCGTTTTAAGACTAATTTTCTTGTGTTACAATAAACATTAAATACATATTAAAAATACTGAAAATACTAAGTAAGAATTCGAAAATCCTAGGAAGGATTGATTTCGGGAGAAAAGGCGTCGAGGTGGGGAGGGGGGGGGGGGGGTGAGGGGGGTGGGGGGTGTTAATCAAACATATATTTAGGTACGGTGAATAAAGGAATTTCCCCTCTCTAATAATAGACAACGTAAAGTAGAAAAAAATTCTAATGTATTACATATACGTTCTTAACAGTTGGTCTTTTCTAATATTTAGAATTGCACTATCAATTTAATTTGCTCTAAAGATACTTCTCAGACCTGTATGTTTTCGTGCATTTTTTTGAAAATACGTGTTTGAAATTATTTTTTGTGTGTCTATTCTTGTCTTGTAAATTATACACCCATTAACGATTTGTCTTTTTTTACATTACAACAAAAGGTTGCCGTACTTGAAGTATTTGTACATATTTTCCTTTTTTTAGGACAAAGATATCAAGGAAACCTACATGGAGGTTATTATTTAGTTTATTTCATCAAATACTAAATATGATAGATACATCTTGGTTAAATAATTAAATGTAATTATGTCAATTTCTCTCACTATGTTAATTAATAAACTATCTTAGATGCAAAACTGATTATTACAGTTGGTGTTAATCAGACTGACCCTGCTCGAAATCCACTTTTGAACCCTGACCAACAAAGCGGTAAGTTTTCTCCTTCAATCTTTTTTAGTCATTTTCTAAATCAGAATTAGTTTTTGTATACAAGTTAAATCATAAAGGTTACTAGAAAACATGAGCCAAAGACTTTTTTAAAGCCCGTATCGTGTATTTTTGACTTTTCTATAACCATTGAATAAATATTAGTACAAGTGTTCCTAATAAAAAGGTACATTTATGAAGATTATACATCCACTCAGGTACGTTAAGGCAGCACCAATATCGTTATTCGGCAAATTTTGTAAAATGTAACATTGATTAATCGGAAAGCCATGAATAAACAATTATCATTATTATTGCTGATTCTATTGTGAAGATTTCTATGAGACTAAGGCTTAAAGAAGTTCTTTATTTCATGCATGACATCATTCTGAGAGGTCTATAATTAATGCAATGTTACATCCCGGGAGTAATAAATCTCTCTTTGGAAAGATGATTATGCAAAGACATCTCTGTGGCAGGAAAAATGATGCCAAAATAAGGCCTCTTACCCTGCCCAATTATTGTTTCAAACACACACTAAGATATCAGATTTCGGCTGTACAGATGCAATAAATAGACTCCTGGGGGTCGTAACATAAAGGCTACTTAAGTCTTAGACCGTGCTTAAGTAGGACTTAAGTACAGTCTAAAACTTAAGACCGTAACTAGAAGCGTACTTAGATTTGGAAATCTTAGCAAACCTTAGGCGGCCGGTAGAGGTGACTTAATTATATCTTAACTTTCTTGTACTTATATTTAGAATTATTTAATGTTGACTTTCGATGTAAAAACATTCCTATATTCATATTATGCATTAAAGAAATAATTATCTATATTTGACGCTGATTTAAGAATTTTATTTTTTCGTTGGGAGGGGGATGGGGTGGGGTGGGGTGATCACTGATCACAATTTCATTCACAGCACAGCGCTAGCATTCATGTAAATACAAAATTTAATTTTAGGGATACGTCTGAAATTAATAGGACTTCAGTTATAGAAATATCCCGATTTTTGTTTTGTATCCTTGATTATAAGTATATCATTAAACTTCTGCATTTTTTGCTTCTGACATACATGGCATTATACATAGTGGGGATTCTAGAGTTTCAATTTCAAGTGAATAGGCGGTCGATTCTCTTTTCTTGTCTGCGATAATAACAGGGTAAGTGAGCATTTATCAAAACAAAAGAGTTACAAGAGGTAAACTGAAAACACCTCAGGTGATAAAACAATTGTCTTGAACATTTACAATGAACTACAATTCGCCACTTTCTGACCGTGCCTTATTTGTTTCAAACATTCCGAATAGTTTATAACATAATTATAATTTTAATACGAAATCTAATCTAACATAACTTTAACCGATAGGTAAGGGCGTCAACTTTAATATGTAATTAATTAAAACCCTAACTGAATCTCATTTAGCAGTATATCTATATAAAATCAAAAACTATCAGTTGACTCATGTGAAATATTTTTAACATAAGTCTGACTTAGCTAGGACCTAGCTTAGTTCGCTGTATGTTACGGTCTAAGACATACTTAAGCAGTACTTAGACAGTTCCTAAGATTTTGCCTAAACCGAACTTACGACCCTACTTAAGTCAAAAACTTAGCAAGCTTTATGTTACGAGTCCCTGAGCTCTGGATCTGAAGTTGAAGATATATCTCAACATCATGTTAATCACTGAGCTACCAAACAATGGATGGAAATTATAATGCTGGACAATGATTCGATATCAGCTTTGGCAGGGATGTTTGGGAAATGACAGGGCTTGTAAGCTCACCAAATCTAAATTTCACTTATTGTAGACATAGTATAGTGAGACAAGTATTGATGAAAGGTAATCATTTTCCTTTACGTGTCACAAGAAGCAAGGAGAGATAATAATACGTTTTGGGGGCTAAAAAAGGAACATACGAAATGATGACTTTAAACGTGATGCTAATATTCTTGTTTCATCAATATGTTTGTCGATGATTTATATCGTTTTAGAAATTGTTCATACGCAGAATATACTCTTGTGTATCGAATCAAGTGAGATATATAAACTACACTTGTAGGTGATAAGGTATATTGCTGCATATAAGTAATGGGGAGTTTACATTTAAAAATTGAAATTACTATTAGTTATTGACAATAGGACGTCGTATATCTAAATGTCGAGTCGAAGTCCACACCAAGTGTTTTCTTCTTTTCACGCATAAGATTTTGGACAGATACATAAATATCTCTGATAATAATGATGCACTATTCGTACACATAGGAATTCCAATTGATTGTCGGAAGATCTGGGGGTCGTAACATAAAGGCTACTTAAGTCTTAGACCGTGCTTAAGTAGGACTTAAGTACAGTCTAAAACTTAAGACCGTAACTAGAAGCTTACTTAGATTTGGCAATCTTAGCAAAACTTAGGCGGCCGGTAGAGGTGACTTAAGTATATCTTAACTTTCTTGTACATATATTTAGAATTATTTAATGTTAACTTTCGATGTTTAAAGTTTCCTCTATTCATATTATGCATTAAAGAAAATTATCTATATTTGACGCTGATTTAAGAATTTTATTTTTTCGTTGGGAGGGGGGTGGGGGTGGGTGATCACTGATCCCAATTTCACTCACAGCACAGCGCTAGCATACATGTAAATACAAAATTTAATTTTAGGGATACGTCTGAAATTAGTAGGACTTCGGTTATAGAAATATCCCGATTTTTGTTTTGTATTCTTGATTATAAGTACATTTTGTATATCATTAAACTTCTGCATTTTTTGCTTCTAACATACATGGCATTATACATAGCGGGGATTCAAAAGTATCAAACTTTTTAGAGTTTCAATTTCAAGTGAATAGGCGGTCGATTATCTTTTCTTGTCTGCGATAATAAAAGGGTAAGTGAGCATTTATCAAACCAAAAGAGTTACAAGAGGTAAACTGAAAACACCTCAGGTGATAAAACAGTTGTCGTGAACATTTACAATGAACCACAATTTGCCACTTTCTGACCGTGCAGTATTTGTTTTCAAACATTCCGAATAGTTTATAACATAATTATAATTTTAATACGAAATTTAATCTAACATAACTTAAACCGATAGGTAAGGACGTCAACTTAAATATGTAATTAATTAAAACCCTAACTGAAACACATTTAGCAATATATCTATATAAAATCAAAAACTATAGGTTGACTCATGTGAAAATTTTTTAACATAAGTCTGACTTAGCTAGGACCTAGCTTAGTTCGCTTTATGTTACGGTTTAAGACATACTTAAGCAGTACTTAGACAGGTCCTAAGATTGTGCCTAAGCCGTACTTACGACCCTACTTAAGTCAAAAACTTAGCACGCTTTATGTTACGAGCCCCTGGTCTCCAAAAACAACATAGATTTTGATAATTAGAAACTCAGGCATCGTATTCATGTCAACTTCAGCGAACATGTACTTGTTTTTTTTTAAATCAGATTGCTTTTACAAAATAATTTTGCAAATGAGTAATGACAATGTTGGCAAAGCGAGTATCATTTTATTTTTTAAATAGAAACTATCAAATATATCAAAAAGCCTGGACTTCTATTAATCGCGTGGAATGGTTGTGTATGAAGAAGGATATGGAGATAACAAACAGCATTCAGTCTCAAAGTCCATAAAACAATACAAAATAAGAGCAGAGCAAACACGGACCCCCGAAACATCAGAGGTAGTATCTGGTGCCATCTAAAAGTGAGCATCCCCTGCCGACCGTTCACACCCGCCATGTGCTCCTTGTCATGATCAGGAAATAATTTTTAAAGGTCGTTAATTTGAAGCTGTTGATTTTGGAAAGATCTTTTGATTTCAAATTGTCCAAAAGGTAGTTCAAATTCATTTTCGTTCTTTGATATATTAAATATATTCAACACTGACATCTGATGTTGAAGAATTTCTTTCTTAGAAAGGGAAACTATGAGTATAAGATGGATAACCACTTGTAGAGTCAAATCCAAGTTCTTCTAATATGCAATTATATAACGAACCTTACACACGAAGAAAATGTTGTTACCTTTAATTTGTCAGCAGGTCAAGTATGTATACTGATTGCGTAATCTATTCAATTATATTTTCACTTCTGGATTATTGATTAATCGTTCAGTTAGAACCACTCTCTTGAACTACCTTTTTGTGTTTAAAGAATTAGAAAAAAAATTAATGCTCGTCTGTTTTATGTAAAGAACTGCAGAAACTTAAAATTAAATTTAAAAAATAAAATGAGGAATGACAAACGGGAGAATTACTCTCGGTATGTTCATGTTACTGTCAGGTAATGTGCCTAGAATGTTATCGTAAATAATTATCGAAGAAATTTTATCTTATTTTTATCTAATATGATTACAATTAATGTTGAAACTTTATCGATGTTAGTTAAGATTGCCTTTCTTTTCCCTTATCGCAGCATAATGTGTCCCTACGAACGTTGCACAAAAGTAATGAATTGTGTGGAGGCCTCAAAGATAAATATTTTTTTAAACTTTGTAATTTCTAAGTACTTACTTTAAACGTTCTTTTTTGAGAATTAATCGATGTGTTAACTTAGACCTTTGTACTTATAAACTCAACATTAAATTGCTTTGCACTTTATTCAGTTTACAAAAATAAAGGCATTTGCCTACATATCGATAAATTCTGAAGAAAGAATGCTTAATCTTATAATTTATATACCTGCGTTCAAATAATATATTGGGGCAGGAAATCGCCAATGACTATTTTATTTTTCAACAAAGCAAACTACTACCTTTTTAATCTTCTTTTATATTGTTTTGCTTGAGAGTCTAAACCCCATGTCTTGAATATTTTATAATCCACTCTCAATAACAGCATAATCTCTGTCTCTTTGACATGGTGATGAACTATTTTTTAGCAGTGCTTGCAACATTTAATAACGAGGTCTTCAATATCCAGGCTATGTTAATTTTTTTTTAATTTATAAACACTACATTTGATCTTTAATTGTCAATTTTTGTGTCTTAATTATCTGTAACTGTAACTTGACACTTTGTTTATTTAGTGACACGCGTCCGTGATACAATTAAAAGGATAAACAATAAATTTTCATTAAGCCTAAATGTAATCAAAGGAATATTTTTGTTTATAATTAATAAGAAAAATAATATATACTGTACTTATTATAAAAATAAAATCATTAAAGTATAACTTCTGTTTAATGCATAATCTTAGAATACATACCGGTAAATAATTTAATGTACACAGACATTTGTCAACGAGATTAGTCGGCACATGTTTTAAATTACTTTTTGCTGTGGTACACCTTGGTTGATGACAACTTTTGGGCAACATATATATATGAATGTACAATCCGTATATAAATATAAGTAAAGTTTAATGCAAGTGAGTGAAACTATTATTGACGTCACAGTACCATCCTTACATCATTTTTACGGCTCTGATATATTTGTGAACAATAATTCTTTAAATGTATCAATGAATGAAGATATCTCTGTAAATACAGGAAACGGTGGCTAATATGATATCCATGTCATTATCTTTTATATATGAAAGAATGTATGAAAGAAGGATATGAAGACAACGAACAATATTCAATCTCAAAGTCCATAAAACAGTACAAAATAGAAGAGTAAACACGGACCTCCGAAAAATCAGAGGTGGGATCAGTTGCCATGGAAGATTTAGCATTCCCTGCTGACCTACCACACCCGCCGTGTGCTCCTTGTCATGATTAGGTGATAACGGAAAAATCCTTTGTCAATCCAGTGTATAAATAATAGACTAAAAATTAGTATGAAAGACGTCATTCAGCTTTTGACTCAATGACAAATTAATTGTATTTGTTGACAAGGTCGTTGCATTGACCAATATTTTTTTCCATGAAAATTTCATGTTTATAAGTTTATATGAATTCACATTATTATTATTATTATTTTTTTTTGGAACTTTCGAGTGAAGTTTTCTTTGCACGATATTTATGTGATATGCTCTCAATGTAAAGTTCATATGGATCTTATATCAAAATTGCATGAAGCTTTTATAATTATTTTAAATATTTTGTTTTAATTTTTCCTCTTTTTTACGCAAAGAATCTTAATGAAAGGCATTTGAATTTCATATAAAATTTATACAAGCCACATTTGGTTGTGTAAAACATATAAGAAACAAATGAAATGTTCATGGTGAACACAACATTACTTTTCATAAAATCAGAATGTGTAACAAAACATTGTAACAGTTTCGAAACTATTAGCTTTTTTTTTTTTTTTTTTTTGAGAAAAAACCCCCTCTAAAATACATTGTAAAGTTGACTATCAAAAGCTATATATTAAACATCTTTCCTCTGATATAACTATAATTCACAAAAAATGTATATGTTTCACAATTTCAGACAATATTCCTGGTACTGGTCAGAACGCAAATGGACAAAACAGATCTGGAGGTATGTTGCAAGAAAACAACAGAGTAAATGTATTTTTTAACACATTTGATAAAACTTATAAAAATCAAAAAATGTACAAGAAAAGGGATATTTCATATCAACAGATATGGGAGACTTTTAAATTATTATTATACCTCATTTTAAATATTCTTCAAAACGCGTTATCTGATTGGTTCTGAGTTATCAATTGATCGGGCAGTAAAACTTCATTATTTACGGCCGTCGGCGCGCTTTTCATCATATTCTACCTCTTCGGAACACCTAGTGTATTTTCCCGTCATATAGTTGTCGTTCGTTGAACGAAAACTCCCGAAAGTAGTAGACATCACAATACCTTGGTTTACATCACAAAATTGATGATAATGTGTTGACCAAATTGCTTTAGTATAAATTTATGTAAAAAATGAAAGTGAATTTGAGAGCGATGCCGAATTTGAAAATTTATGTTTATATTAAAAGTTTTGCCTCTTTCGGTAAAATAAACAATTCATTGCATAAATGTTCGGGAAACATGAAGACTTATCCAGCCAAGAAATATCATATTCCCCTTGGGCGAAGCCTTCGGGGAATATGATTTTTCTTGGCTGGATAAGTCGTTTATATTTCCCTCGCTATCATGCAATAAATGTATTATTAATGTACTATATACATGTAAGTGTAATACAAAATTAAAAAGTGTCAATCAAACTGATCCAAATCCCAAGAGACACTGTCCAAATATAATTCTAAGAAAATTTACCTATATATATTTTCTGAACCTGTTATCTGTGTTTCGATGTTAGTTATTTATACCATGAATTAAAATTTACTTTAATAAATGTAGGATATAACCATCCAAAATTGTGAAATTCATGTCCACCTGGTTTAGGGGTACTGCTTTTTGTGTGGCACTCTGTTGATTGTACATGCATGAAGAAAATGCACTTATGATTTATTTCTGTAGATATCTTCTTCTCTGCTCCTGAGTGATAAGAAGATGAACTTAGTGCAAGATTATGATGAGCAAGAGTGCCTCTTTTAAGATTAAGTATTTCATATCCTCTTTGGTCAGGGGTCCTGATAATTGGACGGGGATCTGTGTATTATATAATGCATTAATGTTGTGATACCCTCTCCTCTGCATCTGAGTATTACACAGACATTTGATAGAAAAAATAAATCTAAATGTACTATTATGAATATAAATAAGTGCATCTCTTCTCTGCTCTTTAGTTTCTATTAAATAGGAAGAATACAAAATTGTAATAGGTGAAGCAAATGATTGTTTCTCTATTTTCCTAAATTGTACAAATTACGTACAATCCTTAACAAATAAATCTTTATATATATTGAAAATAAGTCGGTTTAAGATTGAATGAGAATACAAGAAAAAAATGTGATATGTATTGAAACAAAATAAATGAATATTTGGTTAAAATGAACAAGGATGCTCAAATCGTATATTTGCCAGAAAGCAAAATAAAAGATGGGCAAGAGGATAATTTATGTAGCATTTGTATTCTGCGATGTCCTAATTGAGAATTATGTGATTGAACCCTTAGTTTAGATGGTAAGAGACTGCACAGAATTCTATTATATTTTGTGAGCTTAAATTTTTATCACTTTTATTGAGAGATCTCTTGATCATAAAGAGCCAGGGTGAATAGGGACATGTTTTAGTTTTTGACAAGTGGCAAATAGCTTAATTGCACTAGACGAGTGACGAAAACAATGTGTTTATATCTAATACTTTACACGATAGGCCATGCAAGCATCCATTGTATTTGTATATTTTGCATTCAATATCATCATTGTCAGACTTGGGAAAACCAGGTAAAATTCCAAGGAAGTCGCTTGGATCTTGCACATTACAATAAGCAGGCCTAGGGGCATTTTTACTAAATACTTGAAAGTGATGTGCCAGCTTCATATTTCAGTTAGTTTGTTTTTTTACTATGCATCCTTTATAGTGTTGTATGTACGCAGGTGATCATTGAACCCATTGTGTTTTACTTACATGTACGAGGGTTGATTTAAAAGTTCGTGGAATTTCTTCATATTTTATTTTTTTTTTTGAAGTGAAATTGGTTGAAAATTACAAATGAGAATATAGACCCTTGTAGAATATTTTAGATAAAAAACATTTTAAATATTTATGATAGTAACTCTATGGAAGTTGCCATAGAAACGGTTGTTTGGAAAGCGGGGGAGACATTAATGCGTTTATTAGCATTTTAATTCCTAATACATGGAATAAGAATAAAACCCCCCTATGTGGTATGTAAAACAAAAATTATCTCATCATTACGATTGCTTGATCTTTTATAAACCTTTATGTAAGAGTTTTACTGATTATACTGGATATTTAGTTTATTAGTTGGTAATTTATTGTTCATCTTAAAGTTTTTAGACAACATTGAAAATCCCGGCATCACTCTATCTTAAACGTGCATTTTATTGATATAGGCTGGGGGGAAATGCATTAAGTGAATGGTTTTTCAGTGGCATAAGAAATGCAAGGATCATAGAACTTCCATGGACGTTGATTAAAGGTGTGGCCACCTTTTGGAGGCTCTGTTTTAACATCCCTTGGCAAATTAAAAGCGTTATTGGACCTTGTCAGCTGTTGTATTGTTCTTGACATTGTTACTGAAATAGGAGCATCATATTGAAATATGATTAAAAATATATAAAAACTATGAGTGAAAAATGGAGATAAGTTGGTGCGAGAGGATACCCAGGCTTTTATTGCGAGAAAAGGGGGAAGACGGCAGCATTTTGTAGAATTACGTATTCGAAATGGACATTAGGCTGAGATGCTTCTATAACGTGACGTGACATATCTAACTGGACGCTAATTCGAAGTCTCCCCCGGAATTCACAACAATCCGTTTTAAAAAGGTGGTGTGACATTATTGGTAATTGAAACGTGGTGAAATTTTCCAATATTGTTGCAATATGACTCCATATTATAAATAAGCCCGTTGTTTGCTTTCATCAAATTACGATAAAATTTTAGAAAGAAATTCTACGAACTCTGGGATGAACCTTCGTATGTATAAACAAATATGAAAATATTCACAAGAATAGGTTGATCAAAAAGAAGTGTTTTTTATCTTCGTAGATGCAGAAAATGTCAACGATAACAACTCTACTAGCAAGAATATACCACAAGGTAAATTTAAACAGGTTTTTGGTGCTTTAAAACAATTCAAAATTATAATGCTTTTTTGTTTACAGCTTACATATTCATCTTTTTAATCCCAATTTCTTAGTTCTTTTAATGCTTCTTTCTTAGAGGCGATTATGCTATTTTAATTTTAAAAAGACACTCTAAATTTATCAGATTGTTGGATAAGTTTGTAGTCATAATTAATATAACATTATTCCAGTAGTTGAACAAAACTTGTTGCACTGTATTATTTATTTCATTGAACTACGTGTTATAAATTTCGAAAACTGTCATTTAACAAATATAACAATTGTTGAATACTGTCATCACTCGATATTATTTGACAGCCGTGTAATATCAGTAGACTGGTGGGAGGGGGTTACAAAAAAATCGCAGGAAAAGCATCATCCTACATGTCAACTCAAATGGATGACACAGATTTCATAAGCTGTGGATAATGGAATGTTGTGAAATGAATGTTGAAAATCTAGGATAAAAATGATTATTAATAAGTTTGTCACACAGATCTAGACTTTTGATTCATATTCACATTAAATTGGAATATATATTCTAAAAGAAATTCTTCAATTTGAAGTAAATATTGATATCATACTTAATACGGTACCCAGTCCTTGTCAAGTTACTAAAATGCATTTGTAAATTAGCCTTATAAACTTTCTTCTCTGGATTCTGGATTATAGTTTTAACAATTTTCATTTATATACAACAAGATTGCCACTTTTCGTAAATATTAAGAATAAAATCAAAATTTGTGAAAGTGCAAGAATGTGTCAATTAAACTGTTAAGTTTGAAAACCTTTTGGATAAAATACAAAAAATAATATTTTTTTTGTGAAATGCTATTAAAATATATTAGACGTAATAGTATACAGAAAACATAAAATTCAAATTTGTCTCTATATAGCCTTAATGCTTCTGTTCAGCGCTGTATTTTAGTGTATATTAAAAGAATAAATATGTAATCTGATCATATATAATTAATATGTTTTTTTTTCTTTTTCAGACCCCGGATACACAGTTGAAAAAAAAGGTTAGTTGTTGCATTTCTGACATTTTACATGATTGTATTTATTTTATGAGAGAATCGTTCTTTACATAAATATGTTTGTAGGGCAGTTGTGTTACTTTAAGAGTGTGCAAAATGTGCTTTATGAATAAAATTATTATTATAACCACGTGTATTGGTCACTATCTTTTATAAAACTAATGCACAAATAATTGTATCGAACTTTCAATCTCGTTGACCCTGTAAAATATGGCGGCGCTTCGAGAGAATTCCTTCGGCATAGAAAGAAAGTTTTTTGATTGGCATATAGGCCGAGCCGTCTAGCTCGTAAGTCAAGCACTGCTAGAAGACACATTCCGTTTGTCTAGAGTTCAACCCTGGGCTTTGGTGGAAGTGAATATCCTATTGAACGCTTCTTTCTTTATTTTTCGATAAACTGATGAATTGATCTACACTTATCAACACTACTGGTTTTTTAAACCCTATCCGTATGGAAATCCCCCGCCGTTCTCTGTATCCCACAGCATTTTCACATTTATCTATGGTATATCCACAGTATGGTACGGTATGCCTGCTCTGTATCTACATTAAATCGCAGTATGCCACTGCATGTATCCCCAGCATGCCACAGTTACCTACAGTAGAACCTGGTACACCTACAGTATGCCACTGTATGGCTACTGTTTCTTACAGACGTGTACGGTATACCCCATTATATGTCCAAGTACGCCCATGGATATGTTTATCAAAGCAAAAAAAAAAGAAATAAACACATTCCCAGAGCACTGTACATTTACCTAAAATGTG